CTACTCTCAATATTGGTCCCGAGGGGTTTATCTGTCCTGGATTCCCTGTGTTTCCAGCTCTTATCTGTATGCATGTACTTACTGTGGTATAGTCAGATTTGTAAGGTAGAATTAGGGTCATGATAGTGGGGGGGAGGAAGCATTAAAGAATTAGAGCAGTGGTTCTCAACTTTCCTAATGCTGTGACCGTTTAATACAGTTCCTCATGTTGTGGTTACCCCCAATCATAAAATTATTTCCGTTGCTACTTCATAACTAATTTTGCTAGTTATGAATTGGAAGCCCCTGTGAAAGGGTCGTTTGACCCCCAAAGGGGTCGAGACCCACAAGTTGAAAATCTCTGAACTAGGCGGAAAGCTGTATGCTTCTTGGTGCTATACCCTCCCTGCCATCCTTCTGTAAGGGGATGTCCAATTGCCTACAGATTGACTTTGGGTTTCCACTCCATACTCCCCACCCATTCACACTGACATGATTTTTTGTTCTGGGTCTTTGATGCCCGATACCTGGTCCCATCATTCCTCATGACCACACAGTCTGGTGTGCTTCTTCCATGTGGGCTTTGTTGCTTCTTGGCTAGATGGTTGCTTCAAGCCTTTAAGACCCCAGATGCTGTATCTTGAAGTAAGTAGCCAGGTACCATCAGCTTTCTTCACTGCATTTGCTTATGCTTTGTCTTCAGTGATCATATCAGGAAAGTGAGCATCTCAGAATACTGATTATTAGCACAAAGTGTTCTTGTGTTGAGGGAGTACTTGAGTAGAGAAAATGGCTCTTTTAAACCAAAGAGAGAAACAGTGAATTAGGAAGGAACAGGCTCTTGGATGTCAAGTAAAAGGTAGGGATGTCATTAAAGAGTTTTTAATAGTATGAATCAATATGCTAATCACCCGTTTCCTCTAAAGAATCAGGGACATCGTGGTTGGGAGATCAGCAGAATAAACTTCAGCCCTAAGCAAGGGGCTCACTAAAAAAAAAAGGAGAGGGAGTGGTGGTGAGAGGGGGCCCAGGCTGGAGCCGAATCCTGCCCACAAAACTAGGGATGGAGAAAGCCTTTTCTGCCTTCTCATAAAGACATTGCCTGCTCACAGAAGGAGGTGGGAGGGGGTCTTTTTCTAAATTCTTCTTACAAGCCAGCTGGGGCTTTCCGTCTACCCTTGCATTATCCAATGTCTCCCCCAGGGTCACCAGCAATCAATCCTCTCAATGTCTGAAACAGCACTTGCCTTCAGTTTGACCTCGGAAGCGCTAGGAATGGTTAGCTATTACCCACAGCAATCAATATTTTTCCTTCAGTTACTCCGCTTCTTTTTCCTCCTCTTCAAAGGTAAGGAGTCCTTGGTGCAGTGGCTAAAGCAATGGGCCACTAACCAAAAGGCCAGCTGTTCAGACCCCTGCCAGTTTTCGGTTAAGGGAAAGAGGTGGCAGTCTGCTTCCATAGACTTACAACCTTAGAAACCCCACAGGGTCACTGAGTTTGGATTGGCTCACTTGCCAATAGGTTTTGGTTGTTCAAAGGTAGGTTATTCATAGGTGCTGACCTATGGGCCAAGCATGTTTTCCTCTCCCTCAGCAGTCTCTTTCCCTGTCCTGGGTACTCTTAACCTTCAACTCTACCTAGTCTTGACCCAGCTCTCTTCCAAGAGGATTTCATGCCAGCACGGGAGTGGTAGGGTGGAAAGAGGGCATGAGACATAGGATGAGCATACAACCAATAATTGAGGCTTCAAGTTAGCAGTAATTGGTGAGACAAGGTAGAACAAGTAGATCTAATTAGAACAGGCACAGGCTGGGAGTTAGTGAGGGCTCTTTAAGAACAGAAGAGCAAGGACTATTCTGGATTGAGAGGACACAGTAGAAGAGTGGATGGACACAGCAGTGTTTGGAGCTCCCATGAAAAGAGTAATGACTAATGAAAGCTCTACTGATGGGGAAGGAATTTAAGAAAACAATGCCTAGGACTTCCTTCTAGAAGAGGCTGAGAGTAGGATTAAGGGATAAGAGAATAAAGGGAGAACTTCAATGGTAGGCCCTGGATGCAGTGATCTTCCCTCACGTGTCTCTGTAGGGCAGGGTAGAACTGCCCCCATGGGTCTCTAAGACTATAGCTCTTGGTAGGAGTAGAAAGCCTCCTCTTTCTCCCAAGAAGTGGCTGGTACTTCCAAACGGCCGACCTTGCAGTTAGCAGCCCAGTGCAGAACCATTACACCAAGAGATACTTAGTGCATGAGTTAGTCAGGGCAGACTAGAGAAATAAATCCACAGAAACACAGATGTATATAAGAGAGAGTTTTATATAAAAGGTAAGTGTACATTGAGAAAACATCCCAACCCAGTCCAGTCCAGTCCAAGCCCTTAAGTCCTCCTCAAACTCGCAAAACACACGCAGTAACGCCAAATGCAGGAGGAAAGACAAATCAGTGAGCATGTAAGTATCTCAGCGCTGGCAGGGGTCTCCACGTGGCTTCTCCAGCACCCAGGGCTGCATCAGGGTAGGTCCATGTGGCTTCTCAGGGATGTCTCACAGGAAGTGAGCCTTGTCAGCTGAGGCAAAGAACTAGCTTAGGGAGTTGCACACTGGTTTGACCATCAGAGAATGATCAGGGAACGAAAGACGAGAAAGGTGAGGCTCATGGAGCCATTTTCTCTCCACCCTTCAATTAATCCCACACGTGTTTATCGGCCAGGTTGGCACAATGAACCTTAACTATCACAGTGCATGACAAGTCTTTTCCCAAGTCTGTAGGCTCCATGATGCCTAGGCTTGTTTTTTTTTAAAAATAATTTTATTGGGGGCTCATACAACTCTTATCACAATCCATACATACAACCTTGTTTTCAGTGTTCCCCATACTCTGTTATCAGCCAAAGAACAGAAACACCATCAAATGTGTTGCCTGGCAAAGGAAAACGGCCCATGAGCTAATAGGAGTGATTTGGGAAGAGGAAGGGTGGTGAATTCAGACAGCTCCAACCCCGTCACAAAAGTTCTCAGGTGTAGCCAGGCATGCAGATAACATATCTGGTAGGAGAAGAGGCTCACCCCCACCCCCCAACACCTGTGGGACATTCAGAGCACCCCCAATCTCAGACACACATATTTATACAATTATTTTATTCCACTTTGGAAACCACCTCTCAGTCCTCCATGTGCACCTAAGGCAGGAGTCAGGAGTCAAGCTCCAAAGTCTGAGTTATAAAATAGTCAAATCCCAGAGGCCATCGTCTCTGGCTGCATGATGGCAAAAGGTGTAACCAGGAGCCTCTTGCAGATGATCCAGCACCTGTACTGGCCAGGCTACATTGTTCTTCAGCTCTTAGGAGCCAGGAGCCCACTCCTGTAGCCTCAGTTACCTCTGCTGGGCCAGAACTGTTTGAACCAAGAGCTCACGGCACCATCTACTCGCATCACCAAAGCTATGCCCAGTAGAAGTCCCACGCTGCTCACAATGAAGCCCACAGCCTCGAAAATAAACCTAAAAAGAAAAGTGGAGAACCTCAGGAGATGCTAATCTCAGGAGGCTGCTGCTGAGCCTCTTCCCTGCAGAGGCAAAACCTTGTCCACTCTGGATGGTTACACCTTGCTCCAAGCGTCACCCTCCCCACCTCTGCTGCTTAAGCAAGTCCACTCACTTGGGGGCAAACACCTTCCAGACCATGAGATGCCGTCGGAGGATGAAGGCTGCCAATGCACAGGCCAGAATCTAAAGGAGGAGAGGAGGGGCCAGACTTACTTGAGATGGGGAAGAAGATGCAGGACAAAGGAAGGGTTGCTATAAACTCTTGTGAAGAATGGGAGGAAAGCAGTGAGGGTCAATAGTAAAATCCCTGTGCTGTGAGTTTGGGATCTACTTATTGTCTTCTCCCAAGATGGCCTGTGTGGCCTCAGGCAAGTTACTATCCATCTGGGATGCTAGCTCTCCGGCTCTGTCTGCCAAAGTGGAGGACGATGCCAGCACCAGCCCCCTTCTGCCTCTGGAGGATGGGAGGATCCAGGACCACAGGCAGGGAAAGACTGCTGGCCATCACATCAGCTTCTCCAACCTCTGCACTCATGAAGTTACCCTTCCCCAATGCAAGCAGCAGAGCCTAGATGTAGGTTGTGAGAGCAAACAACCTAGGTTGATTCAGGAGACCCAGGTTCAAGTCTCCATACTCCCATTTGAGTCTGGTGGCCTCGGGCAACCACTTCACTGAGCTGTATTTTAGTCCAGCCTTCCTCCCAGGGCTTTAGCAAAGGATGAAAGGGAGAAGGTGATGTATACACACAAGAAAAGATCACCAGCTCCTCGATCAACCGTTCCCTTGCACCCACCTGAACACCAAGGACAAACAGGTACTTAAGGCCCAGCTGCAGCAGTGCTGCACTGAAGTGGTGAGGCGAGTCCCGGAGCCGCATCTCCATCAGGGCCTCCTCCTCCTCTTCCTTGAGCCTGACTCTGGCCTCAGCTTCATTCCCTGGGGTTTGCCGCCTCTTCTGGGACCCCTGACTTTCACATAGGAATGGCCAGAGTAGGAGTAGCGGGCAACCTACTGCCTCAGGGGAAGACAAGGCTGGAGTCAATGCAGGGTCCAGGAACATGCCCACCCTGGTTCCCAATCACACTGGCTGGCTCAGATTCCCATCAGAGTAGGCCATGGAGTGCCAAAGATCCACTAAAACCCTATGTCCTCGCTCAAAGCAAAGCCATGGGTTTCTTTTCCTTCTACAAGGCCAGCATCGGCACTGGAAGTCAGGGTGGGGCAAGAAGGTACCTGCAAACAGGAGGTGGGAGGCGAAGGTGTTGGCTCCCACCAGCAAAGCAGGCAACCAGGTAGAAGAGCCATGACCCTCTGGGAATCCTACGAAGGCTGCCTGCCAATGGATCGCTGGAAACACAGGCTGGTGGCCCGTGGAATAAAAGGTCTGTGTGGCCATGAGAACCCAAGCAGAAATGGCTTGCCATGGCACAGTAAAAGGACCTGAGGGCAGAAATATGTCTCATCATCCCATCCCAGCCCCAGCTTTCTGCCCTTACTCATTGTTAACGCACGCACACATGCATGCTCATCTCCCCCACCTTACAGTCAACACTCTTGTTATTCTAATCCCCTCTGTCACACAGAGGCCCATCACCCTCATTTGACTCTCCAAGCTCCAATGACCAGTCTCTCTCATGTGTGGACAATTTCCTGTGCCACTCATGAAAGCCCTGGTGTTGCTATGGGGTAATGATGGGCTGTTAACCACAAGATTGATGGTTCAAATCCAACAGCTGCTCCATGAGGGAAAGCTGAGGCTATCTGCTCCGGTTGCTGTGCATCAGAATTGACTCCTTGCCTCCCTCCCTCATGAACGCTGTTAGTTCTGGGAGTCAGTAGATGAGAGATCAGGAGGCCTTCCCAAACTTGTGGGGTATGAGACCCTGAGGTGTTCCACCTCCCCAAGAACATGAGTGGCTGACCTGCCATCCCTGACACTGTGCTCGGACCAACAGGCTGAGATGGGTATTTACCAGGGGTGGTGACGGGGATCCCCGCAGCGAGCAGATGCAGGAGCAGGAAGCTCTGCAGAAACAGAAGCAGGAACACAAGGCTGATGCGCTCAGCATGCAACAGCAGAAGGGGGAAGGCCAGCAGGGTGAGGGCTGTGACCATAGCGGCCGAGTAGACACTCCCCAACTGATAGGCAGCCACAGTCAGAGGGCCCTGTGCACTGGTCCTCTCTACTTGGCCCCGGAACACATCCTGCATGTGCCGGTAGATTTGTGGGACCACGTAATCCAGGTCGGCTTGAGAAGTTGGGGGACCTGAGAAAGGAGTGAGGACAGTCCTGGTCCTTGGGGCACTGGGGCCAGCTTTCCCCAGCACCGTCACAGGCCTCCACAGCAGCAGCATGAGCCCTGAAGCAGCCAAGCCTGCCACGGCCCGAGGCAGCAGGGTGGATGCTCCGGCCACCAGGGCCCGCAGCCTCGGGGGCGCCTCATCCACTCCAGATGCCAATGCCCAGTAGGCGACAGTGCCCAGGACCATGAGGGGCAGGCCCCAGCGCACAAAGAGCACAGGGGGCTCAGGGCTCTTGAGATTACCATAGCGGCGAAGCCAGAAGCGCACAGCAGCTAACAGGGTGACCAGCGCCCCCACACAAGCTCCGTACCACAGATTCTTGGCTTGGCCGCCCACCATGGATGCCAGAGGACTCAGCCAGGGAGAGGAACGACAAACAGGTGTCTCTTCAGGGCAGCGATGAAAGAGTCCGGCTAGCCTTGTACAGAAGAGCAACCCGACACCAAGCCCCAGGGCATGCATGTTACTGTGCTGTGAGGGGCTTGTTGGGGTTGAAGGGCCCAAGCGGGGTACTCCAAGCAGCTTAGGTGGCAGAAGCCGGCCCTCCCAGTGAAGCTGAGCAACCAGGAGCAAGATGAGGGATCCCAAAAGAAAGGGGGTGGCCCTGGCCTCAGCTATAACAAAGCTATCTGAGAAGAAGGCAGCCCAGCGAATGAGCAGGAGGAGCAGGACAGGCCCAGGAGTGGGAAGCAGGGCTGCCTGGGGCCTCCTGGCCCCCCAGCCAGCCCAGGCTTCCCACAGAAAAGGCAGCAGAGAGCCCACTGCAGCCACAGCCACGAGGACCACGGGCTCCAACTTCAGTCCAGTAGTTGCCAGGAGTCCAGCGCACAGTACGGCCCCAGCCAGACACCAGGCCACTGGCATCAGGGGCAGACGGCAGAAAGGGAAGCCTGGAGACGTTGTCCATTGGGAGGCCCACAGACAGAGACAGCAGGCAGCAGCCAGCAGGGCGGCACCCCCTGCCATGCGGGCCAGAGAAAACTGAGCCCAAGACTCGATGCACATGGCCCGAGCCCCGCGCAGAAACTGCTGCAGCTCGGCGATCACAGCCTGCAGGGCCGCCTCCGCCTCGGCCTGCCGCGGGCTCTGGAGAAGCTGGTGGTAGTCAGCAGAGGCCTTGGAGAAGAGGCTCTGCAGCTGCTGAAGCTCCTTAACTTGGAGGTCCTGAGTAGCAGCGGAGTAGGTGTGAAGAAATCGGGACACCTGGCAGAAAAGGTCAGAGGGCAGGTCAGAGAGGGAAGTTTTAAAGGAGGCAAGTGTAGGTATTATAAAAAGGGGCACCTAAACCCTAGCTGGGACAGAAGAAAGCGGGATGATGGGAGAAGAAGGTGACTAAGGAGTTTGGGGTCACGATTGGACAAAGGACAATGGAGTGGGTCATTATGTTTCCCGTATGGCCACTCTACCTCTGCCAACCTGGAAGCCCAGCCCCTTACCTACCTGCTGAGCATTGAGATGGAGAGCGGAGGCTTGGGTCAGAGGAGAGGAGTGGGGCTGGGAGTCTTTGTATCCTGCGAACGGCTCAGTCATCACTTCCCCGATGTTCCCAAATGGAATGGGCAGGCCCAGCAGTAAGGCCAGCGTGGGTACCAGACTGATTTGAGGAATCACCTCTGGTTCCTAAAGAAAAAGCACAAGGTCCAAGGGTTCCTAACAGAGTGGGAGATAATATTTGGGATGGAAGGCATGGGGCCCAGTTCAGACATGAGAGTAGGGTGTGTGCAGGATCATGAACTTGGGGGGGGGGGTGCTAAATGAGGGGGTTCAAAAGGATGCTGAGAACACCACCAGCACCTGGTGAGACCATGCATGTGACAGGGGGCCTCACCTCAGGCAGGGGATTGGGGAAGAGGGCCACGGGGCTATACAGAAAGAGTGCAGCCGAGACCTCCAGCTCACTGTCCCCTCCATGGTCCCCATTCATGGTCATTCCGTGGTCCCCAGCCACCACGAGCAGCGTGTCATTCTTCAAGCGATCCACAAGCCCCCTGGGAGCCAAGCAATGCGTCAGGGAGTAGAGATAAAGCTTCTTCTCCGAGCTCCTTCAACTCTAGCTTTGGTTTCCATGGGGCACCCCCCCCCCATCTGCTATCACCCTGCTGCCCAAGGCTCTCCATTGCAATACAATAGGTGGAGGAGACCCCAAGTTTCAGAAAATAGTCTGGGAAAGATAATTTATCCAAGAAGACTTACAAAGAAAAAAAGACTCGCCAAGAAACAAGATCAGCACTTTTTCTCCTGGGGCCCTATCTGCTGCTGCTCTCAGACACACATCCACAACTCCAGCCAAAACCCCACACTCACTGGATCACCTGGTCCATTTGGCTAAGTTTCTTGGCCATCTCAGGGTGGTGAGGGCCGTGCTTGTGGCCACAGTGATCCACGCCCAGGAAGTGAGCAATCAGTACGTCCCAATCACCACTCTCCACTGCGGAGTAGAGAGCACTGAGCACAGGGAACCAAGGTCCCTGTCACAGCCTCCAGCTCTGACACCTCCCTTATCTTCAAGGACACAAACCAGGCCCTTGTTCCAAGGGGAAGCTCAGAATCTGCACCGAAGCAGCCCTCCCCAGACCCTCTGCCAGCCCTGCCTCTGGCCCTGTGCTCACTGGTCGGGTAGAGGTGATCCAGGATGCCATTGTCCACTGTGTGAAGGTCTCTGACATTAAAGGATGGGAAGAAGAAAGCTCGAGAGAAAGCTCCAGGGAAAAGGTCTTTCCAGGTATCATCTCCCATGAAGACCACACGTCTTCCTGCAGCAAGTCAGGGCAGGCAAAAAAGAAAATGGCTTGTTAAAGACCCAATAGGAACCCCAGTCATGCACTCCAAATCACAATTGTATCCCTGAATTCTTTCTCCTTCAAGGCCTGAACACTGCCTTTAGGAAGCTTCCCCTGATAACCACACTCCACTCAGACCTCTGATTCCTCATTCGTGTAAAACGCTCTGCTAGGGCCTGGATATCTCTGATGCGGTTTTTCCCTGGGTGTACCCAGCTTTTCCCATGTCACTGAGTACCTGTGGACAGAGCTCCAATCCCTTGACTCTCTTCGCTTACAAGGGTACCATCTCCTCTTCCCCTCTCTCCTGAACTTTACTGAGTTCCCCAAGATAAAACCAACACCCCTGCAGATCGGAGGCTCCACAAGGACAAAAGCCAAACCTCCTACCTCTCCTTTATCCCCCAAAGAGAGCTTTCCCCTTCTGTCCCCTCACAGCACAAACATACTGACAGGCACCCAAAGTCCTAGCTTTCTGAACCCTAGAGAATGAATCAGATAAGATTATCCAAAGGGGCCCAGACTGACCTGCACTGGTAAGCTGCCGAATGAGATTGTCTTCCACTATGGAGTGGCTGGCAAAGTTACTGCCAGCATCAATAAAGGTGGGCAGTGAGCCAGTGGTGAGAGCCTTGAGGCGCTGCATGGTGGTGGTGGGTGGGTCAACCTGAGCTCTGTAGAGCCAGGCGTGATGGGGCTGCATTTCCAGGATCCTCTGCAAGGTGCCCAGTTTGCCCAGGAAAGGCAAGGATGCAGGAGGCTCCCCAGGCATGGGTGAGACTTGGGGCTGGGCAAAGTCAAAACGCAGAGCATCTATCAAGACCAGAACAACCCGGGAGAAACGGGAGGCCATCCAGCAGGCCCCCGGCTCCCCCCGGCCACCCCGGGGCAGGGGCCCGGGACCTGGGGGCTCTTGGCAGCTGCTGTAGTTGGTGAGCTCCAGACGGGTGAGCAGGAAGCCACTGGTGAAGAGGGCAATGCCGGCATAGAAGAGGAAGCTGACCCAGGCCAAGAAGACCAGCACGAAGACCTTCTGCATTCTGGTGAAGAGGGTCAAGGTGGGGAGAGAACTCTGGCCAGTCCAGACCCTCCATCCCAAACCCAGCCAACATGGCCTCCAGTTGGAAACGCTCCTGTAAATAAGCAGACCTAGAGCCAACCCAATGCAATAGTCTCAACTAGTTCTCCCACTATTTCCGTAGGTCATCAGCATCAACCTGGAGAGGCTGCTGATGCTGGTTTGCAGGGTCCATTCCTGATCTACTGCACCAGGATTTGCATTTGTATTCTAAGAGATCCTCACGCTCAAAAAACACAGCCCATTGAGGCAAACTTATTTCAGGAGGCATGTTACTCTCTGCCAGTCTCTCCGCGACTCATCTCGCCAATCTCAGCGCCCCGTGGGCGGTCAGGGCTTCCAGCCGCGGGAGAGCCCGAGCCGGGCAGACGGCGCCGCCTGGCGGGGGTCGGGAAAACCAAGGGAAAGAGTGGCGCTCCGTTTCCGGGGCCAGGATCCGCAGGGGTCCCTAGGGGCGACCTCCGTGGGGCTCCCGTGAAGTGGAGCTGGAGCGATGGCCTTAGAGCCTGTTGGGCCTCGCTCGCCGGGACCCGAGCGTCCCGGCGGCTGTGCCTCCTCGAGCGACTACCTGACCTTTGCGTGGACACCCTGACCCAAGTACTGAGCACCTCAGATTGTGTGGGCTGGAGAGGATCCCACACTTCGGGGGTCAAGGAGTCTGGCTGGCGGGGTGGATCTCGGGAGACCCTGGCTCACCTGGAGAAGCGCCCGGAAGCGCGGCGGCGCCAGGGGTCTGGAACCATAGAGCTGCGCAGGCCAGGCAGAGCGGCCCGCCGGAGCTTCATCGCCATCTGCCGGCGCCTCGGAGGCTGGCGCGAGGGTGCGGGTTGGCTAGGAAGGTTGACTAGGTGATAATCTAGCAGTATAATGGGTTACTTGTTGGGCTGCTAATTTTAGCAAGGTCAGCAGTTTGAACACACCAGCTGCTTAGCAGGGGAACGATGAAATTTTCTGTCCTGCTAAAGATTTGTAGCCTTGGAAACTCACAGGGGCAGTTAGTTATACCCTTGTCCTGTAGGATTACTTTGAGTTGGAATGGAGTCCACAGTGACTGTGTGGTGGTGGGGGGGGCCTTGGGGAAACGGTGTGGGAAACAGAAGGCTTTCTCCCAAGTTGTCTCCCCCAAATATATGCCAATTAGCTGCTTGTGAATGACTGTACACTTGGAGGTCATCAGAAGTAGGTCAGGGTTATTCTCCCTAAGGGTTATCAGCCACCTAGACCAGGCAGACAACAGTTTATCCCACAACAAATAGGGCCCACTCCCTTCTGATAAGGATAGTAGTTGTCTGTTTCCTTGTAGGAGACCCCAGAGAGGTCAAACCCACCCAAGGATGACTAAGGTTAGGCTGCCATCATGAATCTAGGGCCCGCCCATCTTGTCACATGTATACCCCTAGACCTTCCCATTCCTATGGGCACACCCCTAGCTCATCCCCTTCCTGTCACGCTTATGCCTATCATAGATCCCCGTCCTATGATGTGTATGCCTATTGTACTGCCCCTTCCTGTGACCTGTGGTTACCTGTAATGATGCCCCCCTAAGGAGCTATTAACCCTTGGTAAGCAATAAAGTTGGCTCTCTTCTGTTCTTGAAGCCGGGCTCCCCAACACAAGGACCAACAAGTGGGGCTGAGGTGGGCATGCTACCATGAATTGTGTCTGACTCCATTATTCCAATCTCTCCTCTACCTCTCATGCTCTCTATGACTTTACTACAATCTTTACTTATGATCGCTGTACAATTGCGCCTACCGGACCTGTGATGATTTGTTGGGGGCCCTCTTCACCCCACAAGAGGGAACAAGGGCTATTGTATTAAACAACAATAACCAGGGAGCCACTATTCACTCGACAATTAAAAGCAAAGCTTTTAAAATCAAACTTAGCTTAAATTCTGTCACTGTCTTTAGGCATTATTTAACTGAGTGAAATGTTTCTTTATCTGTAAGATGAAGTTGTTAGGTGCCGTCAGTTGGCTCAGACTCAGTGTCCCTATGCACAACACAATGAAACAATGTCCGGTCCTGTGCCACCCTCCCCAATGGTTATACTTGAGCCCATTGTTCAAGCTACTGTGCAAACTCATCTATCTCCTTGAGGCTCTTCCTCTTTGTTGCCAACATCCTCTGCTACCAAGCATGGTGTCCTTTCCCAGACACTGTTCTCAGTATCGTGTCTAAAGTGCGCGATGAAGTCTCACCATCCTCGCTTCGAAGCAGCATTCTGGCCCTCCTTCTTTGACCACTGATTTGTTTGTGCTTGTGGCAGTCCATGGTACTTTCAGTATTCCTCACCAGCAGGATTCAGAGGCACAGCTCTTTGGTTGTTTACTCATTGTCCAACTTTCATATGCATATGAAGTGGCTGATAACACCCTGGCTTGGGTCAGGCACACCTTAGTCCTCTAAAATCCTCCAACTTCAATGCTTTCACAAGGTCTTGTGCAGGATAGCTGTCTAACACAATGAACCGTGCACCCAGGGCAACACTGGTAGCATGAGTTGAGAGGATTATTGTACCAGGCTAGCTCTGGATCTGTGTGTCTAAAGGAGAGCATGCACGAGGGCTTGCTAGCTGGGTCTTAGATGGAGGGTCTGGACTGTCCGCTGGGTTGCTCGCCCCCAGCCCCCACCCTCTAGTGCTGAATCCACCC